TGGGCGGCATACAAGACAACTAAACTAAACTAAACTAAACTATATATGGCAAATGGGACATGGTCTAATTATATGTGCAACTGTCTCTCTCATGCTGTTTTGCCCATCCTGTAGAATAATACAGAGATCTGGATCCAAACCATTATGCAAGGTCATTCAAAGGCAGGATTTTTTGTCTTCCCACCATCGCAAAATTCAAATGGCCCTAACTCTGGTCCCATATACATGAGTTTTGAACAGCTCCAACTTTTTCTAGGGCTCAGGCTAGATTGGGATGTGGACTGCCTCTGGAAGGGGGTTTTACAGGGGTTTTAGTGAATTTTTTTCCACTGGAATCATTATCTTTTCTGTTCTGTTTGATGTTTGCATCTTTGATTTCAATTTCTGTATACTCTCCAGACTCATCAAGAAGTTCGCCATTCTTAGAAACACAAATAAAAAATCAGAACACGAGAGAGGGTAAAGCTGGAGTCAGCAGCCTATGTGTTCAAGGCAGGGGTGAAATTGTATTGGTTCAGACCGGTTCGGGAGAACTGGCAGCGGACATTGGGCCTGGGCTGCCGAACTGGTAGGGACTGCTGGATGGCCACGCCCCCAAACTGATCTCCCGGTCACCGCTTGTTCGCCCTGTCTAGTCTCTGCTTTCCACCATCCCAGCCTGCTTTCCCTACTCCTTTCCCTGCAGCCCTGCCATGCTTGCCTACCTTTCATGTGGCCTTCCTGGTGGTCCCCATGCCTGCTTGCCTTTCAAGGTCAGCATCCAGCCTGGTGGAGACACTACCACTGCTCTGGGGCTGAGAGGGGCAGCGGTGATGATGGTGGTACTCTGGGAGGCAAGGTGCCAGATGGATGTCCTGGGACTGCTGCACATGTGCACCACCTGCCCTCCCGGAGCACTGCTGCTGCCCCTCTCTGCCCCAGAGCAGCGGCTGAATCCCCACTCACCCACCCACTAGCCGGGCCAGGCTGGACACTGAACCTGGAAGGCAACCGGGCATGTGGGAGCACCGGGAAGGCAGGCAAGCATGTCGTGGCCGTCCATCCATGGGGAAAGGAGCTAGCAGCCTACTCCCTTCCCCGCAGCCCTGCTATGCTTGCCTGCCTTCCATGCAGCCTTTCCGGTGTCCCCGTAGCCAGTTTGCGAAGGCAGGCAAGCAGAAGGCCATGTGGAAGGCAGGCAAGCAAGCATGTCGAGGCCGGCCACAGGGAAGGGAGCTAGCAGCGCATGCTTCTTTTCTCTCGAGGCTGAATGGGGAATCCTTCCCACCAACCCCTGCCAAAAGGAAGGAATCCACCCCCGCACTCCCCCAGACAAGCCAGGAAAGACCCCAAGGTTGGTGGGATTCACCTTTGGAGCCTGGGCACTTTTCTGCACCAACTCTATGCCTTCTGATGGCTCAGCACACTCCTGCTTCCTTCATTATTTCCTCTTCCATCCCCTTCTGTTCCCCACCCCAAAAGCAAATGACGAGTATAAGGGAGGCCAAGAGTTCCTCAATGAGGGGAGGGGGAGAAAAGGGGTAAGTGGTGGAGTGCTGTCTCCTCAAACTGGTGGGGGGCTGAGGACAAATCCTCTTAGCTCCAAAGGTAACAACTCTTGGCTCTTAGCATCTCCCTTGCAAGCCAGCTGCTTCCATCTTCCTTGCTCATGTGAAGATAGGGAGGGGGTGGCAGGGATAGAGAGGGTCACACACTGCTTTCAAAAGAAACACGCAACCTGGCACTCACTGCCGCGGTGGTGGCGAGTGCAGCTCCGGAGCCTCTAGGTGCCAGAGGAGCAACGCTGGCTGCCGAGGGGAAGGGAAACAGAAGCTCCTTCTTCTTCTGCACTTCAGGCTGGGAAGCTTCCTGAGCGCTTAGCACAGTGCCCCGCAGGCAAAGTGGGTGGGCTGCACTGAAGCAAGATGTGAAAATCCGCAGCAGGAAGCTTGGGGTGAGTGAGAAGGGGGGGCAAGCACTTTGTTTCTATCTCTCCATCCCCCTCTGTCATCTCCCAGACTTGGTGGCTGAGGTGGAAAGGCAGGCAATCTTTGGGACTAGAAAACATTGGGTCTGGCTTGGCAAAGGGGGTTAGGCTGGTCAGGTGCTGATCATTGGAGCCTTTTTTTACTTTTTAAATCACTTTTTACTAGTTAAAAAGGCTTTAAAAAGTAAAAAAAAATGTTGGCTACGTCCACCCAGTCACATGACTCCCCCAGAAAGCCACGCCCACCAAGCCACGCCCATAGAGCTGGTGGGGGAAAAAGTTAGATTTCACCACTGGTTCAAGGGCACAAAATCCTTTCTTTTATTACCCAGAATTCCTCTCACCAGGACGGCTGAACACCACAACTTTCTCTCATCTTTAACCAGGAAATAGGTGAAAATTGCTTTAAAGACCTCAAATAGACATGCAAGACTTTTCCAAGCCTTGTGAGGTCCTGACACTCTACAACTCTCACGCCCTCAACAACTGTTCAACTTGGTCCCTTATGTTTCAAATGTCCACCTAAGATAAAGCCACACCAAATGCTCAACTAATCTCTCCAAACACCTTTTAACGTGCTATTAGGGGTCATTTTGCTAGCAATGGGTATTACCGTGGATGTCTCCTCTGTACACATTTCCTTCTGTACAGGTGCTGCTGAACATTCAGGGATGGATTTCACTCCCTTCCTTTTGGCTTTTTCTGTCTGAATGTTCGTAAAATAGTTGACAGCTGCAAATTCAATCAGTGCAGAGAATACAAAGGCAAAGCATATCGCTATGAACCAATCCATGGCTGTGGCATAGGAGACCTTCGGTAAGGAATGCCTGGCGCTGATGCTCAAAGTTGTCATGGTCAACACAGTGGTTATTCCTTGGGAAGAAAAGAAATACAATAAAGGTAATTGGTATCTTTATGAAATGAAGAAAAAAAATACCAAAAGCATAATTTCCCTTAAATTATGAGGAAAAACTGAATATAAAGTGTGCTACTTCATGTTGTGAATTAACATGAACTATGAAGTTGTGGGTGCTCCATCAGTAGAGATTTTAAAGAAGAGATTGAACAGCCATTGTCCAGAATGGTATACCATCTCCTGCTTGTGCAGAGTTCTAGGGTTGGACTAGAAGACCTCCAAGATCCCTTCCAATTCTGTTGTTCTGGATGTTATTTTCCATGAAGAAGGTCTTTGAACAGAGCAAGTGGCAATACAAACTTGACCTTGGCTGATCTTGGAAAGGCTAAGCAGGGTCGGACTTACTTGGCTGGGAAACCCCATATTGTGGCCTGTTGGCCGCAACTTCTTCGGCAGCCAAATCAAATGAGGAGGCGATGTGGGAATCAGGGCCAAATCAAGGCAATCCAAGAACTCGGAAGGGAAAGAGGGAATGGGATTGTCAGAGATAGAGTCAGAGGCGGAGCCTGGGCTGTCCATCAGCCCTTAGGTGGAGAGTCAATAGCTCCCAGGTCTGATGAGCAGTGGCTGCTGAGCAGTAGATGCGCAGAAGGCAGAGGAGTGCAGTGGAAATCTATGAGCCAGTCCTTGGGATGGAAGGACCACCACTGCTAGCAAAGCCCATCCTAGCTCTGGGGATAAAAGGCAGAGGGTGGAGATGAATATGTGTGACGGAGAAATATTCATCTCCCTGCCGGTAAGCCACTGATAGCCTGCACTTCCTGTCTGGAAATTATTGGAATTCTTCTTGGAATCTGCAGCACCTTCTGAATGTGTGTGTGTGTATGTGTGTGTGTGTGTGTGTATGCACGCGCGCTGCTGGAAAGAAGTGAGCGCACCTTCCAGGATTTCCTTTGCAAGTGGGGGAAGAAAGAGAGACTCCTGGTGTTGGGGCAGTTCAGGGGGAAAGGGAGAAAGTGTCACTTTCCGCAGGAGTTAAAGGCTTCGTAGCCTGCTATGTGCTCCTAATAAAGGGAATATTTCATTAACTACAAAGGGCTTGTCATGTTTTGGAGCTGAGTCAGAACATCCCCATGGTTTCCCAGGACTAGGATATACTGAGAAGTTTAAAAAAATTCTTATAGAAGGCAATGCCAACCACTTCTGCACTGCTGGAAAGAAAACACACACACACACACACACACATACACGCCCTTCTGTTATTCTTGTGTGATTATATTTATTCTGTGCTTCTGTGAGTTCTGGCTGTTCTGGCTTCATGGGTATTGTATACATGCATCATACTTTATATTATTGTATATAAACAAGTTTCTTTTATACATTGCTGCAAACTCTAATGGTTCAGATGCAATTTTGCAAATGTAAGCTGGGCTACCATGTTCTTTTTAGACAAAAAACAAACCATATGTCAGGCCTGCAGTTCCCTAATCATCCTGATTCTCTGCACTTTTTCTAGAGTCTCAACATCTTTTTATAGTGTGGTGACCAAAACTGGATGGAGTACTCTAGGTGTGTTTATAGAGTGGTATTAGTACCTCACTTGATCTTGATTGTATTCCTATATTAATGCAATTTAGGATTGGAATTGGCTTTTTTGGCTGCCGCTGCACACTGCTGGCTCATATTTAGCTGGTTGTCCAGTAAGACTCCAAGATCCCTCTCACAGTCACTGCTATTAAGCCGGGTTTCACCCAGTTTATATATGTACTTTTGGGATTTTTTATCCAAGTGTAGGACTTTACTTTTCTCTACATTGAATTTCATTTTGTTAGATAGGGCCCAGTGTTCATGTCTGTCAAGATCCATCAAGATCCATCTGGATGGATCTATCTGGGTGTTAGCTATTCCTGCCACCTTAGTATCATCTGCAAATTTGGTAAGTTCCCCTTCTAATCCCTCATCTATGTCATTTATGGAGATATTGAAGAGTACTGGGCCTAAGATGGAACTTTGTGGTACCCCACTGCTTACTTCTCTCCATGTAGACCTGGACATATTAAGGATTACTCACTGAGTACGGTTTGTCAGCCAGTTGTGAATCCATCTGGTGGTGAAGCTATCTATCCCACTTTCTTCTAGCTTATGAAGAAGTACGTTGTGGTCTACTTTGTTGAATGCCTTGCTGAAGTCTAAGTATATTATGTCCATAGTATTTCACTGGTCTACTAATTTAGTCACTATGTTGAAGAATAATATTGGTTTGGCATGATCTGCTTTTAACAAAGCTGTGCTGGCTGCTAGTTATTACTTTACTCATTTCTAGATGTTGGCTGATCTGTTTTTTTAATGTCTTTTCCAGTATCTTCCCGGGTATTGATGTTAGGCTGATTGGTGTGTAGTTTCCTGGGTCTGTTTCATTGGTGGGTTTCTACTTTTTTTACTACCAGTTCGCTCGATCCGGGCCAAACTGGGAGCAACCCACCTCTGGTCTGTTTTTTTTTCCTTTTTTGAAGATGGGAACCACATCAGCTCTTTTCCAGTCCTCTGGTAGTTCCCCAGTGTTCCAGGATTTTTGAAAGATGTGGTGCAGTGGTTCTGAGATGACATCTGCTAGTTCCTTTAGAAGTCTTGAATGTAATCCATCAAGTCCCGGTGATTTGTAGTCATCAATATCAGACAGGTGTTCTCTTACTGGTTTGGTTTTTTTTTGCTTATTTTAACTTTTATTTCCAGTCTGTTTTTTACAATTATGTTTGTGGTAGGTTGGGCTATGGTTTCTTTTTGCATGAAGACTGATGCAAAGAATGAGTTAAACAGCTCTGCTTTCTCTCTATCGCCTGCTACTTCCTTGCAGTCTTCTCTCTTTAGTGGACCGACTGTTTCCTTGATTTTTTTTCTTGTTGTTTCTATGTTGGAAGAAACTTTTTTTTATTATCTTTGACTTTTGGTGCAAGTCTTTTTTCATTCTGAGCCTTTGCTTTCCTGACTTCATCTTTGCAGATTCGGGCTATCTGCTGATATCCTGCCTTAGTTATGTACAATTTTTTGTACTTGTCCTTTTTTTTCTTTCAATTTGTCAGCGAGATCTTTGTGCAGCCATGCTGGTTTCTTCTTGGATTTGTTGTTTTTCTTTCTCAGCAGTATTGTGCTGGTGAGCTTTCATGATCATATTTTTCAGAGATTCTCAAGATTCTTGAGTTGTTTTCCCTTTTAGGATTTTCATCCAAGGAATCTTTCCCAAGTACTCTCTGAGTTTATTAAAATCAGCTCTTTTAAAATCTAAGATTCTGGTGTCACTATGTTCTATTGCTTGTGTTTGTGTTATGTTGAATTCTAGTATGACATGGTCACTCTCACCCAAGGTTCCTGCAGTTTCAACTCCCTGTATAACTTCTTCTCTGTTTGTAAATATTAAGTCCAGTATGGCTGTCCTTCTAGTTCCCTCGTCCACCTTTTGGGCAACAAAGGTGTCAGCTAGGTTGGTTAGGAACCTATTTGATTTCTCATTTGGTGCAGAATTAGTTTTCCAATTGATATCAGGGTAATTGAAGTTCCCCATTACTATTGTAGTGTGTTTCCTACATATGTGTTAATTGGTTAGCAAAAAGGAAATCTATTTTTTCTGCTTGGTTGGGTGGCCTATAGGATACACCTATGGGGTGAGAGAAATCTACTGTGGCATGCCAGATCAAAGAGGTATCCTCCCCTAGCAGTGAGGGAGAGAGAACTCTGGCTGAGGAGGACCAGCAGCCAATCCCCTACAAGAGTGAGGATGAAGGGAAAAGTGACCCAATGGCGTGGAGCCATCTGGCCCTTTTCAATTCCAGTGAAGATTATAGCATCGAAGTTGGGAGCCCAGGGAGAAATGGAGGCACTCATAGACTCAGGCTGTACCTGGTGTTTAATGAACATGTCAACAGTGCTGAAACTAGGAACACGAATGAGAAAGCTGCCCCAATCCATGAGATTCAAGCAGGTGGATGGCTCATGGATGGGGGCTCCCTTGTGACTCACCTGACAGAGCCCATGTGGCTAGTGACAGGCCAGAATCAAGAGACCATCTAATTTGTGACAGCACCGAAAATGACGGAGACGGTAATACTGGGGCTATTCTAGCTAGGTTAGTGGGGCCCTACCATATGGTGACAAATGGGAGAGAAAAAGATGGGCTCTTCCCTCCAATGAGAGCCCTTGGAGAAGAAGCAGAAGAGCAGTGAGCAAAGGGGAAGACACCAAATGTTTGAAGACTGTCTTGGAGCAGCCGCCAGGATCTCATTCCTATAAAGTAGAGGAACGTGGAGGAGGTTTTCAGTGATAAGGAATATGATGTCTTACCTCCCCACCGCCCTACTGACTGTGCTATTGAAATCCTTCTGGGGGTGAAGTTCCCCAAACCAAAGATTACTCTATGACCCCAAAGAAGACAAAAACCTAGTCCAGGGCTTTATTCAACTGGCCAAATCCTGTGTGGCAGTCCTGGTACTGTTTAAGGAGAAGGATGGGACAATGAGACTGTGCATAGAATGTGCACAGGGATAAACATAGTTTATCTCCCTTCTCCTAATGAAGGACATGTTAGGCCATTTGGCCAAGGGGAACATCTTCACCAAGCTAGATGCATGAGGTTCAAAGAGGGCGATAAGTGGAAAACAGCCTTAAAATGCTTGTTAGGAAGATTCCAGTTCAAAGTAATGCCATATGGGTGCCAAGGGCCCCCTACTGTATTCATGCAGCTAGTTAATGAGGCACTGCATGATCACCTGTACAAATGGGTCCTAGTGTACCTGAACGACATCCTCATATTTACAGAAATGATAGAGGAGCATGTAAAATTAATACACCAGGTTCTTAAGAAACTCTTGAGTACATCAAACTATCTATCTTATGTGCGAATTCCATAACACTCATTTAGACTACCTGGGCTAGCAAGTGTTGTGCGATGGAGTATAGAGGGACCCAGGGAAAGTAAAAGCCATCTTAGACTGGCAAGCCCCTCAAACCTGAAAGCAATGGCAGA